CCTTCTCTACGGTTGTGAATGCTGGGCTTTGCTCGTGGAGGACGAGCGAAAACTGGAGGTATTTGACCACCACTGCTTGAGGACCATCCTTCGAGTGAAGTTCACCGACTTCGTCTGAAATGAGACAGTCCGCGTTCGCTGTGACAACATCGCAAGGACAACTCGGGTCATCCAAGAAGGACGACTGAGGTGGTTCGGGCATGTTCTTCGCCGTTCACCTCAGGCACCGTTTCCCCATTGGAGGCGTCGAAGAGGGGGGGTCAGTTTAAAACCTGGCTCGACACATTTCGTCAAGACATGGAGGTGGTTCTTGGACCTTCGGTATTCGGTCTCCGTCGTTGGCGAAGGGAATGGGTTGAGCTGTCCAGATCTGCTGCCGCGGATCGTCACGCGTGGAGAGGTACAGTCCGTGACATCATCGAGTACAAGTACAAGAACGGGCTCCTGCAACTAGCTATTTCACTAGTGATAGACGGCAGTTCGACCGCCGCAATCGATAATGCCCACTGCGTGCTTCACGGAGCGGGCTCAGAACCGGTGACTTGTGGTTGAACTAGTTTTTTGTGAGAAATGCTTGCGTGGCGCCTACTTCTCTCTCTCTCCTCGCCGACCCACATTGCTGCACTGACAAGACACTTTCTGTCAAGTCTACCGGAGGTGTGCTGGGACGCAGCGACTGACAAAGTTAAACATGCCGTCGACACGCATCACACACACGACCTGGCTATAGCAACGATGGCTTGGTTCGCACATAGGCGACAATGCTATTAAGGCCATACTGAGAAGCGGCCTTTGTAGCCTGACTCTCTGTCCTAAGAGGAGTCGAGCTATCCCGCTCAGTCGGAGACCTCTCAGGCCACGACTTTTATTGCGTCGGAATAAATCCAAGAGATCCAGGTATGCCGTAAGGATAGATTTCCAAGTGTCGGCCTCACTTGCTCTTCACTCTTCCATGCAGCAGTCGCCTGTCCGAGGCTTTTAATCAACAGGAGCACAGTGTCTGACGCGGCATAAACGCCTACTTCTAAGGCGTGCAACCGCATGCATGCTTGTGGAGGAAGAAGATGGGATCAGTGGGACAAGAAGTTTATTGGTCTGACATTTCGGATTCTCACTCGAACTCATCAGCAGAGACAGTTGCATACAGAGGTAGAGGATGCGCATAAACTGTAGTTGCCTTGGGGCCACATGCGTACTATAACCAACAGCTCTAGCGATCACCGCTGGGTGTCGTAATTGATGCGATGATGGCTCGTCAGTCCGCGTGCGACTTGTTAACTGACGAAATTTCATCGTCCGTGTTGGATGTTGGCGTGATTATTACTTGGCCATCTGACTCACTGTCACTGGGACCGTTAATTATGGTACGCGTTGTACTACTACGGCAGCTACACACTATAAATACTGCAGTCTTTGTACCTCCACTACCCTTATCTGCGACTCTCTTTGATGATGTGCTCGAGGGAGAATCCGAAACGTCGGGGCAATAAACTTCTTGTGCCAGTGCTCGCATCTTTTTCTTCTGGATTGCTTCCTGGAGCTCGCCTGTTAGCTCCAATCGACAGTAGTTGTGGATTCGTGTAGACTCGGAGCAGCCCGATAAACGCGTGCTGTGAGCTAAACTGACACCGCGTTGGTCTGCTGAGTGGCCAATCGCGAGGGCCGTACTGGCGACAGGATAAACATCACAACCACGACGCTATCTTCGGATGGTCCTGAACAGATCGCTTAACTTGACGCACGAAAATCAGATACGGTTTAGACGGTAAATGCCTCCTGGTGCAAAGACGATATCTCGAGACACTGGTACGAGCTTTCGAGTCTTCTCAAAGCAGCAGTGACCGTTGTCATTTGCCCTTGTGAGCTGTTGCTGCGTTGAATTTGTCTTCCTCTGGCGCCAATTTGTTTGTTTTTCTTTAACCAATGTAAGCCTATCTTATGTGCCTCATTTTTCAGGTAACTCAGGACGGTTACCTCAATCGATCAGCCGGCGACGGCTCTTTTGACGAGTCAGAGGTCTCTGCGCCGATTCTGCACGGAACTGGTGTCTTCAGTCCGCTCTACTCCAGCGAACTGGTGTCTCTGCATAGTTACCTCAGCAAAGGCGCCGGTGCATCCACTTCGATGCCGGGAGGCGATTCAATGCACCCGGAGCCCAATCATCACTCCTTTGATGACTACAGACCACCCTCTGGTGACTTCGACGCACTGGAGGCCAGTTTTGGGGCTGGTGAGGCGGCTGAGGACACGGCCACACTGTATGCCGAACTCCAGCAGTCCGATGATGCATGCGCTAACGTGAACCCTGGATCTTATGAACCGGTCTTCCCGCAAAACCCCTTCAACTACTATAACCTGCGGGTAACGACTGGTGATCAGGAGGAACCGCAGTGTAATGACAGAGCGGAGCCTTTCGAAGAACGTAAGGTGGGTTCCATAAATTATACCTTTCAATACTTACGCATGCATACATATATATATATATATATATATATATATATATCAATTAGAAATGGGCGCACATCGATCTATTGGCTTCACGAAGCAAACAAGCTCCGTATGGATGGCAAAGGTCTTGAACAGGCAACAAATTACCAGGTCGGAGTCGGCCAAGTCATAATAGCAGCGAGGAGGGACGACAGAGAATGCGGGTAGACTGATACAGTATTATACCGTACAGTACCCAGTCTGCTGCGACAGAGAATGACAGGTGGCGAGGCGCTGATGAACTTCGGTTCGATGAAGTGCTTGTGACCCATCTGGTAGACCCCAGTGGTGGATCAACTGCGCCAGGCGCGTCTGTGCTCATGTTTATGTTCCTGGTCCCAGCTGTTAGTGGTCAGGGTTATGATTGGCTGAATGAAGGCACAATAAGCCCGAAACAGTACTGTATTAATCTAGCCGCATTCTCTGTCGTCCCTCCTTGTCGCACGCCTCACGTTGTGACAAATTCATAGCCAGATTTTGCCTACTCCGCGCAGTTCTAATGCCAATGTCGGATTAAAGAGCGCACCTGAAAATCTAACAGTAAGTGCTGTTATTAGGTTGAGCGGATTTTGTCGCCTTGCATTTTCGCATTTGGTGGAGGTTCTGGGTGTTTTTTTCCAATCTCCTCCTGATGGGCCACATTTATTATCTGTCTAGACCATATCCCATCTAAAACTATTTCAGAACGTCCTTGAAATGTTGTACTTTAACGCCACCCCACCTCCCAGGTATCGGCTGACGTCACGACCACCGACGAGAGTCCTAGCCTGGCGGAGTCTGAGACTGCCAGTCCTGACCCACCGCCAGTCGTCCAACCGCAGTCGACACCATGTCGGCGCCGACTAGCCTTTCGTTCTGTCGATCGGAGGCCGCCAATCATTCTACGTAACCGGATTCTCACAGACACTGATGATGCGCTGGATTCGGTTTTCCAGGACGAGACCCCTTTATCATCTCAGTGCGCCTCAGTCAATGCTGTCGCTTCCGACGCCGACCTCAACGAGAGCAATTTACGAACAGAGACGCGTACATCGTTCTAGGTGATAAATCCAGTCATCAGTCGCGCACTTTCCCGGTCTCCGCTACTATCTTCCGGTATACACACCCGAGTCGCTTGCATTTATATGGACACACACAGCGTCGCACTTGCGCAGAGTCGTTTCTCTCCCCCCCTCCCACCCGCGCCCGGAGCAGACATCAAATGATAAGGGGGGGAAACAGGGCTTGTCACGTTCAGTTTTACATCTGCAAGCTGTTCGCATTAACTACCCCCCCCGGGCCCCCACTCGAGGCTAGTGATGATTCGCCATTTGCGGGCATATTTTGTTTGTGCTTTCTTCTCTTCCTGGTTTTTTTCTCCTCCTCGATTCCTGTTTCACTCCGATAAACGACATGTCATCGGGCAAAACCGTCATCCTCACATCTGTCCTTCATCCACGCAGTCCCTATGCATGCTCGTCTCCGGCTGTTAAAACAGCGGTCTCCTCATATTTACCGTTTCAGCCCGCCTTAGCCAGATACGCTCCTCCCCCTCCATCCTCCCTCCTGAACTTGACTCCGTTCTGGAAAATGTACAGCATGCGTAGGACTGACGCATTTATAGCCACCGCTTATGTTTTATTTCCGGCTGCCTACCAGTTATGTTTTCTGTACAATAACTTATTAATTTCAGCAGTTCCGTTTTCATTCTTACGTCCTCATCGAAGGGACTTCTGCTCCAAGAGGGAGGGACACTAATTAGTGTTTTTTTTTGCGGACTCCTTGCCTCTCTGTGCATCAGCATGGCCATTGTAGATAAGCGCCCAGTTTTGTACTGCTCTAAAAGCCCTGTGGGTAAAACTGCTCGAATATCCTACCGAAGTATCCATTCGTGTGTCTGACAATCGCACTCCTTGGTGGACAGGCGCCCGAACAGTCGACCAGTGCATGTAAGAGGGGTGAAAGAACGAGACCGTTGTCCAGGTATCCGTTCGCATGGTACAGCAGCGCATTCTCCACTTTAATAAGGCTGACGCGTCAGAATCCACCACAATGCGCGAAAAGTGGCCGCCAACTAGGGCGTCGACCTGTTATTTCTCAGTCTGCAATAACTCCTTAATGCGGCCTTTATTTCACTTACGTAGCGAGGTCGTGTGTGGCACGCGCAGACGGTCTGTTTGTCTGGTGCAATGACCGACGGAACTCAGGTGCAGGCCCTGGTTTGTATGCGCAGTTGGGGTGTGATGGGTTGACGAAGACAGATAGGTCCTCTTTCTCCTCGTCTGTACTACTGGACGAAAACTTCGCCCCCCCAGTACTGAAATGAGGCTTATGTCATCCGTTCCAACCCCTTGGTTTCAGGCTGGGCACGTACATTTTCATCTGTCAGCCCGAGCATGCAAAAGTCGGGGAGTTCAAAGAGGAGGACAACTCTGGTAGGCTAGTACTGGTCGGTTTCATTCATTGAAAGTCTATTTACACGGTGGTCGTAAAGGTGAACTTGTAAAAAAGAAAGGATGGTAAGTCCGGTCAGGCTACGAAGATGCCAGATAGGCTGGAGTGGCCGTCACCTCCGGATTATCCTCCCTGGCCCTTCGCATGAGGATGTCGAAGGTGGTGAAATGGGTCAGAAAGGCGGTAGGCATGCCAATGCCCTGAGCCCTGTAAACCAGGTGGTTTTCTGTACCACCGAAGGCTGACGAGAGGCGTCCAAGGCATTTCATCGAAGTCACGGAAAAGCGCCCAATTAGACCGCTGGAAGCTATCAGGGGAGGCCCTCGATGAACCTGCGTATAGCAAAAGAATCTTGAGGAAATGGTAGGCTGAGAACACTGGGGGAATTGTGCTGTTAGGCCTCATTGGGAAGAACGAGGGGTGTCCTTAGAACAGAACAACTGCGAACTCATGGCCAGGAAATACTTGCTAGAGAAAGCCAGGCAGAGTACGGGCATAAGCCGTGAAATTGAAGCGGGACAGATACTAACGAGAGTGCGTTGCGCCTGTGGTTCATTTGACAATTAGCATTTTGGTGCATGGCAGCACTTGTGAAATTTCCGTCCTGCCAATAAAAAAGGATGACAGAGACGCGTTAGTGTAGTAGACATTGGAATCTAATGGGTCAGCCTGATGAACTGACTAGTCATTTTCACCAGGAAATGCAAAGGAGCGAAAAACGGAGTTGTCGTAACCTCTAGGATGTGGTTTGTCATTTCAACAGAATGAGTGAGTCCACAGGTAAATGTAGTTATGAGCACATAATTTATTTCTAGAGTACGGATGCACCGCAGAGTTCAAGCTGCCCATTACATTTACCGAATATGCTGAGGTTCTCTTACACGGAACACTTTCCAGGCAGCAGAGTACAAACAGACCTAATATCTCTTAAAAACCGATACATTTAAGATGTCTCTGTGAAAAAAGGAACGCTACGGAAATGCTCACGGGAATGGGTTTCATAAAATTTGTATTACCTGGACGTACTCCCCAAGTCTGTACAAACTGAGTGACTTCGGAGTGGCTCCCGCGGTCAGTACTTGCATTCGCTGTGGATCTTCAAGAATTGTCGCGACTTGACTAGCAGAAGTTTCAAGGACCTCGAAAGGTAGACTGCCATTGGCTATCCTCTGCGCTCTCTCAGAGATGGCTCGTAAATCCTGTGGTGTAGGTTTCCAATCCAGAATCTGCGGTGCCGATGGCGGTACTCTAAGCCGTACATCAACCACAAAGCTTCCGGACTCAAGGGAGGTCTCTGGAAAGTCTAGCACGCCTACTTCATACTCCTCATGGAACGAGGACACAAGCGCAGCAGCCAAGAGTACTTGACATGACCGCCAGAAAGCGATATTGGCCGGAGAAGGGTCGTGATGAATATCCTTCGATAAAAAGTGAGATAGTTTGAACAATAGCATATGGACGTTCAAAACATGCAGAAAACATATGCGAAGGTGGGAAAGGCGTGGTTTAGGGAATTTGGGCATTTTTACGTATAGACTGCAGGATACAGGTATAAAGAGGGATATTTACATAGGCAAGGAAGGCTCAGAAGACACCAAACGTTCCGCCCTATTTGGTACTCTGGTCAGGCAGGTTTGCTGTGAAGCCGCTTGAAAGGGCAGTTTAAACTGGCCTGGAGATAAAAGTAGGGATGGAACGCGAAGTAGGGAATTCCGTGTTTATGGGGTCTAGGGCGTGTATCAGAATTAAATATGCCCCATAGACTGCTAGCTTTTGAGCGCAGGATATTCCCACGGGAACTAATGCTGCCGTCTGTTATTTCTGTTAAGAGAATACGCTAAGGGCACGTAACAATTAGTATGAATCGCTATTTTGTGCAATCGACATGGGACATCGTAAAAATATCCACGTTCTACGCAGGCAGGCCTGCGAATCTCCTTCGCCTAACTAATCTCTTTGAACTCTAGATAACCATAATAAGCATCTGAACGTAACATTACAACTGTTTGCAGGCTATGAGGAGTTGTGGATACTGACGGATTCCTTGGAAGGTCATGTTAAGGACAGATAGTATACTGAGGGAATGACGGTAAGTGAAAGATTGGTTCTGCCTGGCTAATGACTGCGCGGCGGAGCTTGTGGTGACGGGAAGAAGAGCGGCTCTGTTCGTAAGGGTCAGCAACAAACTGTGCAGTCACACACCAGTAAGGAAAGTGTTGGCGGTGAAATTACTCCGCTTGCTTTAAGTCTGCCATGAAAAAACGAATACTAAAGTCTGTAGTTGTGGCGAGAAAAGCGACCCTTAACACATCATCTCCGGAGGCTGGCAGGGCAATGTAACCTTAGGAATCCTCCTCAATTACGTGATTGAATGGGTTTCATGATGGCAGAGGATCTGGGTGATCGTGGTCCGCAATGTGTTGCATCCCAGATGGGTGCGACAACAGTCGAGTTGGTTTGAAAATAAGTACTTGTACGACTGAGATAATCACTCACCATTTTGCAGTTTGAGAAGTCTGTATGTCTGCTGCATGCTATTCCACAAGAGGGTCAAAGTTGAGACTACATCACACAGCAGGCCAACAAGGCGTGTATGGTTAAAACCTCTTCAGTAGGCGACATCAGTGTCAAAACCAAGCTCACTGTACAAGACCTCCGACAAGACAACTATTCCATAGAAGCGTGAAACGTGGTTCGTATGCTTGATAGGTATCCATTGCCTGAATGCACTCGGTCGATGACGCTTGCGTCAAACTCCGAATCCGTCTCGAAGAGTGCGTCTATCGAACGACTGTGCAGGCGCTCATGAACAGAACCCCTCATCAAATTGCAGTCTTTTTATTCGCCAACCCAGACTGCTCAGCACGCTCTGAGCGAAATGGTCCGGCGTGCCACCTCACTGATCTTATCCCTGGTCAATAGCAGATGGTTACAATATGCACAGCAATGCGCATATTTTGCGGAGGATGTTCAATGCTACGACGCTCTTGACTGATTCTCGTACTTCCCACCAGAAAGCTACGTGAAAAGACTGCGGGAACTGCTTAAGAAGTCATTCGCCGTCTACAGCAAATCGATAGGCATATGAGCAAGACAGGCGTGGGGATGGTTGCTGAGACGGAGCTGCTTGTAGATTCTGGTGAGCAGCATAAATGTGCAATTATTTCATACCCCTGAGTAGACACCTCAAGGCCGACGGATGTATTGGCATAGGTGCGAAGATCGTATGAATTAAAAACGCAATTACGCTAATTTTTACGCAGGGATAGTAGACGTAAGGTTCATTGATGTTTTCCAAGATGATACGGGCACAATTGTCAGCTATACACTCCTAACCTATTTTTCGAGCATTCATGCTCTTCATTAGGCGATCCCTTTGTCCTAATAATAGTCATTGACCAGGATCATCGTCAATGTACCGTTTAATAACCCTACCACCACCGTTAATCCCTTTCCTTATTGGGACAGTACTCCTGAACTCTACAGCCGCAAAGTTCATACAGTAAGAGGTTTACGTGCACTATCTGGAGGAAGTAGCAAGATTGGTAGGATGACAACCCTAACCAAAACGTGCAACACAATTTCTACCGTGCGGCTGCAAAACCGTTAATGAATTCCGACAGACACTCGTTGTAAAAGCGACATCGATCTTACTACATGGGAACGCGGGAGTTATTCGGCATGGCCCTCTCGTCCCCTGCAGATTCCCATACTTATGATTTCTCACTTGCATGGGGTTCCCGGAAGAATGTCGTGGAGTGAGGCGAATCCATGGATACATTACGTGCAGGCAACAGCCCCCATCATTATGGTAAGACACTATGCTGTTCAAATACGACGGTACACATTACTTACTAGTTTCCAAGGACTGGCAATTAAAGGATGGTATACGGGAACAGAGTGTAGTAAATACCAAGTACTACACAAAAACCTGCATACGCGCACACGTGCCATGGAGTTCGCGGAAGCGAAGCCGAGGACAGTTACTGCATGGTGACATAATGTAGGGCCGACCAACGGAATGAAACAGCCAATGTACCATAGTGTAGACTCCGCCGAGGTGACCGGACGACTGTTAGGCTCAACGGAGTCGAAAATGAGTCAATATAATCATCTCGATATGTCGATATTAAGCTGACGTCCAGTCGACACGGAAATGCTATTGTTAGGGCGAGATGGGTCAGATGAATCTGGGCTAATCTGGTGAGTAAAAGGTGCGCAAAAGTGGAATTCACACATGAGGCAAGGACAAAATTAGGGATAAAAAGCGCGAGCAAAGATAGGAAGTCTGCCACTCTACTCACTTTGAAGTGAAGGAAGTCCAGCTCACATTCGCAAGCCAGGGGTTTGTGCATGTCATGGGGCATACCATTCACAAGTGCAAGGACACTTCGGTCCTGCAAAAGTTGCGACAAATGTTTAGCGCAGTCATATGGTGTTGATACACCCCTAGCCATACTAAGAACAGCATCAGACTTTGGATGACCCGTGTAAGTGATATTGATGCGTTGAACATTCGGCGTCATGGACGCTCGCACTTCCTCATTTTTTAACTCTGACCATCGTTTAGATTGTTTTAGGATATAAGATGGATAGTCTTTCAATGCAGCAGCATTTGCCAATCGTGTGACATCAATCACAGTATTGCTGTATAAGCGACGGACCACCCTGAAGGGCATTTTTGGTTGGAGCGGCTTCTATTGCCCTTATTCAAAGCAGACGGGTAATAGAACAACAGTCTCATGAGCATCAAAGGATACCTGTGGCATCTTGTCCTAATCATCATAATCCTGATCAGTATGGACTTTAGGCATATTTCGTGGCTAGTTATTTTTAAATTTCAGCGGTCCACTTTCGCAGTCGTCAGCGCGGCGTTTCTCCCGAGCACCCTTATTGTTCTAACTTTAGTCGCCAGAATGTTGCTTGATATACGGATGATTAAACACCGGAGTGGCGAAAGCTGAATGCAAGCCGATACTACGCTTTCCGCTGATTAATTTCAGGTGAACTATTTGCAGGCTGACAATGCCCAGACTCTTGCATTCATTTCGTGCCGAAACAATCAGCGCAAAACTGTTGCGCTTGGCGAATAAATACACAAGTTGCTCTGACTTTTGCGTCGCATGCATGATCTCTCGCCTCATTTAAGGTCATTTTACACTTATGTCATCCTTGCCTTAGAGCTAAAAAAAACCGTGGTAGCCTGCGCTTGCTTGTTCTCCGCCGCTTTGTCATTCTGCCCTCCTGTCCGCCTCATGTTCTCTGTCCATTCGCTGCTGGAGCCAGGCAATGCTTGTCACTAGTCTCGCGAAGAATAGAAGCCAGTAGACGCTGATCCTCCTCTGCTTGGTTGACGGACACTAACTGAGACGGAGCAAAGGCGCACGTGCCTGCTGTAGGCCAAAAGCCTCAACGGTGAACATAAGCGACACAACTTGCGCGGAAAGACAGCTCTTGACAACTGCTTGCAAAACCCATTTTGGCTCTTAAACGCCAGTATAGTTACCAAACCCAATCCGTCTTTTCTGAATTCTGTTTTGGGAATCTTTATGCTGTCGACCATGACATTTCTACGAAATTTCTACTTGTTGACCATCACGCAAAGACAAGTACTGACCTTGTACGGCTGTCAATATCCCTCTTTTCGAAATTACAATATAGTGGAAATGTGCTAATGGACATCTTTGCACATATAGTGGGGCATATGATACACTCTTTCTCGAGAAGCCTGTCGACGTCATTTTTCAGGCATGTCCTCTCTGCTTACCCATCTTGTCCCTGCACAGGTGTAACTTTCTGGCATCATTCCGACTTTGACGCATAAGCCGTCGTTGCACCTCCGCCGCGTCCGCCGACTTGAAGAAGAACTAACTGGGGGCGAAGTTGGTCCGAAAGTCAGTGCATCCAATTCCCCTTTATCCTTTGGCCGTGGTTACACTTTATACACCTGAAATCGTCCCTCTTGCAGGAATTTCCCGATAGAAACCGACGTCTAAGTCAGCGTGGACCCTCTAAATTCATCTGACTGCCGCCACCCCAACGCTGGTCTTCATTTCCACGCTGTCAACTGTTGCATTATTCTATCTTTTTACTGTCTGTCTCTCGCATTGAACATCAGTTTACGTCGTTTATTCTGGATTTTTAGACTACCGTAATCCGTAAAATAATAATAATAATACTAGCAATAATAATAGTATTTAATGCCAGTTTACAGGCATTGTCAGGGAAGCGTTAAACACAGATCCGGCAAGCATTGAAAAAACCCTGTCAAATGGAATATAAATACAGTTAATGGTGGCTTTTGATAGTTTGGAGGGTTCAGGAGAAAAAAACTGCTGCCCAGCAAATGCTAACAGTCAAAAAAGAGAGGGGTATCACTGTATCGGATATTATCGGTCGCCAAGGGTTTTCATAAATTTGAAGCTGGTCCCAACAGAAGCGCCGAAGAACAACTGTCGCTGTCATCTAAAGAAAATGTTCCTGATGAGACCGGCCATAGAGATCAGAGACCGTAAACACCGCCGCTATGGTATGGTCGATCATTGGATTCAGAATCCAAAAGTTGTGGGGGGTTTTCTGAGTGAAAAATATTGTAGGAGTTCTCTTAACTAAAGGATGATTTTGTAGAGTTTTCACATTCCTGGGTAGTTTATTCCAACTAACAATTACATTTACAGAAAAGAACCGATGATATTTAACGGTACGTGCCAGCGGAAGAAATAAAAAGACCTCACGGTAACTGCTACGTTGAGGGTGAACAGGATGTCTTAAAGCACTGACTGGGTTAAGGGTGCGATTATATAAAAGCTCAAATAGTTAAAATAGTCTCTTTTTTAATCTACGAAACCATAAATGTCCAAGGCCTGTAAGCCGGCAGCGTTCTTGGTAAGACAAATTTCGGTGTTCCGGGGTCAAAACTCTCTTGGTAGAAAAATGTTTGACGGATTGTATTTCCTTCCGCTCAGCAGCACGCATGAGGCTAACTAAATCGAACAGTATTCCAGGCCAGGTCGAAAGTTCATGTTATAAAGACACATTCTAATGTCGCTAGTTCTAAAGTTTTGGGGGATAAACCCGGTCGTTCTACGTGCTTTGGAGACTATCAGGGCGCAGTACTCAGAAATATTGAGACTCTTGGAGTATGATACACCCGAGATCCTTAAAAAACCCATGCACATTTATGTCGTGAACAACGATACTTAGTTGAGGTTGGCGGTCGTCACCAACCACAACGACTGAGCACTTATGCCAAGACAGAGAATAGCGCCATGTGCGGCACCACTGGGCAAAGGTCTGCAGGTCGCTTTTTAGGAGCTCAAGCACGATGTCACGATCTGCCGGCTTATATCAATATGCCACTTTCAGATCACCGGTGTACGTGAAGGGTTTACCATTCTGAAATAAATCTGGTACATCGTTAACAAAAAAGCAAAATAAAAGCGGACCGAATACACTACCCTGAATGAATCCACTCGTTATACATGTGGAGTTGGAGATAGCACTGGAGATCTTAACTTGTTGTGTACGAGCGCCCAGGTAAGAAGATATAAAATTCAAATATTCGCCACCTATTCCGAAAGAGGACAGTTTCAAGGGAAGAATGGCATGGTCGGCACAATCAAAAGCCTTAGTGAAGTCGAAATATACTATGTAAAGTGCAAAACCATTGTCCCTAGATTGGAGAACATGGTCAAAGAAAGAGATCTGACATGCGTCACAAGACCGAGCTATAAGGAATCCATGCTATGCATCGCTCAGTAGGTCATCGTGTTATCTTTGATCAAGGTCTCTAAGATCTCCGAAACTGCGGGAACGGTGCTTATTGGTCGAAACTCATCAAACGACGTAGATTTGCCATGCTTGGGAATGGGCAAAATGTGTGATTCGTTCCACAAGGTAGGATGGGTTTCACTTTTAAGAGCGAGATTAAAGAGCTTGCATTAGATGGATGGGAAAATGGTAGTTGCATTGGCTTTTAAAACGCCTACTGCGAACCATCACGCCCAGGACTACGAGATTGATGAAAACGCCTGATCGTATTAGTCACATTCCACAGAGTGAAAGTTATAGTTTCGTGAACCGTACTGGTCAATGCCTGGATGGTCGTAAGCGAAGTGGTCGAATCTTCAATAAGCGACTTGGACAGAAAAACGTTGAAACTGTCAGCGGTTAGCTGGGCATCAGCTATAGGATTCGCGAGAGCGTCTCGGAGGGTGGGATGCTGCATCTTTCTGTGAGTTCGTACTTTTTGGGAGAAGCGTTTGAAGACATTTAACAAACGGTTTCTAGTGAATTGTACCTCATCGGCAAACTGTTTTTCTTCGGACAATCCCTTAGCCCGCTCAAAAATATCACAAATCAAGGGTAGAACGGAAGCGTCGCTCTGAAGATGGAATTGACGAGGAAGTCTGCGCAACCTGCGGCGAATGGGTAAGGGTAGGAAAATCTAATCCCCGACATTAATTATTTTCCCCTCGGGGACGAAACGAGAAATAAGCCGATCCAGTATTTCGTAGAGCTTTGCAGTGAAAACTTTGATATCCGAACTAAGGAAGAAATCAGTCCAATCGTAGGAGTTAAGGTGTGTTGATAATTCGGTCGATGGAGTTGATCGAAAATCTCGGAAAAGCCATATTTTGAGGACAATCTTTGGAGTGAAATTTCTGCAAGAGTTTAATCTTTTTGTGGACTACTGGCGCCTTCAGCTGCTCGACCACATGTCTAACCTATCTGGTCGCAGGCTGACCCATTTTAAACTTCATGAGTCCTGTTCGCCCTGGTTGCACATGCAACTTGCCTTAAGCAGAACCTTGTGGTGACATTTAAGTCCGTTTTGTTTTAATCAGTTACAATACGCTTTGACACAACTTTGAATAAGACAAAGAACACGCGCGTGCACTTTTACATGCTGACGACTTTGTTCTTATTTACTAGTTTGTAACTGTTGGGATACTGCTATTTTCGTTTCCCGGATAGCCTACTCGCTGTGTCCAACTAGTGGGTTTGTCTCTTACAATCTCCTCATCAAACCTTTCAACATTATCATCCACCAATTTCGCGGTTTCGGTGTTCGACACGATATTATGCATCAAATTCGGCCCGCGACCCTCCTGTATCCGTTCGGCCTAGATGACTGGCACAAGTCCGCTGCAGGCTAGGAAGGCAGAACTTGAACAGATGTTCAAACTAGATATCAGAAGACCAACAAGAGAGCCTTTAGGCGTGGTGTCAAAGTCAACATCTGGCTAACGGCGGACGCGTAAGCCTACAATTCACGCAACAATGCTACTATTCCTGATCTGTACCCAATCTCCCATCTTCAGGACTTCAGCGAAGCTCTTTTACGCAAAGCGGT